AGATATGGGACGGAGACAGCATTGGTCGCACTCATGGATGATCTCTGGCGGGAGTGGGATGGGGATAGTGCATCCATCCTCGCTCTTCTTGACCTCTCAGTGGCTTTCAATACCATCGACCATGGTATTGGTCCCTTTGGGCTGACCTAGGGAGTTGGGCGTGGGCAGCACAATTTTATGCTGGTTCGCTTCCTTCCTCCAAGGACGGTACCAGTCAGTGTTGATTGGGAGTGAGAGGTCCGGCCCATGGCCCCTCTGTTGTGGGGTACCGCAGGGTTCAGTACTCTCACTGCTCCTGTTCAACATCTACATGAAACCACTGGGTGAGATCATCCACCACCATGGAATGAAGTATCATCAGTACACAGATGATACCCAATTATATATCTCCATCTTGGGTGATTTGAGTGATGCTGTGACCACCCTTGCACGGTGCCTGGAAGCTGTAAGGATCTGGATGGGGAACAACAGGCTTCAGCTGAACTCTGGTAAGACGGAGTGGCTGTGGATTGGAGGCTCCTCTGTATCTGGGGGTTTACCATCTTTGGTTCTCAATGGGGTTGCACTGCCTCAGACCTGGTGCATAATCTGGAGGTCCTCCTGGACTCACGACTCCTGCTCAAGGAGCAGGTGGTAGTCGTGGCCAGGAGGGCCTTTGTAACTTCGTGTTGTGTGCCAGTTACACCCTTTCCTGGATCAGGAGTCCCTCCGGTCTGTCACTCATGCCCTGGTCATCTCTTGTTTAGACTATTGCAATGCACTCTACATGGGACTACCCTTGAAGAGTATCTGGAAGCTACAGCTGGTTCAAAATGCAGCTGCATGGGCAATCATGGGTGCCCAAAGGAGGGCACATGTAATACCTTTGCTGCAGGAGCTGAATTGGGTTCCAGTTTGTTTCCAGGTCCAATTCAAGGTGTTGGTTATCACCTTTAAAGCCCTACATGGCCTAGGACCAGGTTACCTGAGGGACTGTCTCACCCCCATCCCATCAACCTGTCCCACCCAGTCCGGCAGAGAAGGCATGTTGAGGATCCCACCAGTGAGAGAATGTCGACTGATGGGTCCTAGGAAGAGAGCCTTCTCTGCCGTTGCCCCTGCCCTATGGAATACTCTGCCCCCAGAGGTGAGGCAGGCCCCCCCAGTTTTTCAGGGGGAATTGAAGACTTGGGACAAAGAAAGATACAATTGACCCTGGGGATGGCTGGCACCTTGATGATGCTCCCTGAGTTTAATAACACCTAATTAACGTCTGCCTCTTGGAAGTATTATAAAGGAAGTATATTTTTAACATATTTAATTAATTAATTAATATTTATCTATTTTAATCAATATTTATTTTTACTATAAACCGCCCAGAGTCACCCCACAGTAAGATGGGCGGTGACAAATTTGAAATATAAATAAAATAAGTAAAACATCAGTTCTGCTGGCACAGTGGGATTTCTTCTGCCCTTTCCCCTTCCCAGGAAAATCCTTTTAGTGCATGTTTTGATTAATTGTGTATACTGAAGAGGGGAAGAGTAATTGCCCTTCTCCTGTTCTGTCAGCAAAACTGGTTCCACTAATGGAAATATACAATTGGATTCTATTCAAGAGCACAGATACATTTTGGTTTGTTCTCACTTCATGGCTGAGGTCAGTATATGTAATTATTCCCTATTGAGAAAATTTGGGAGTAATAGTTACTGGCAAGCATTGTCTGCTAAAGACTTGGGGAGATTTGGGTTGTAACTTTGCCAATCTACTAAGTCTTGTTTATTGGATTTATACCTTGCTTTTTAAATAGGTTGTAGGATAGTTTATTAGAAATTAAAGTTTCAAAAATAGCATATTAAAGCAAAGATAAAACACCACAGTTTTAAAAGCAAAAAAGCAGTCAGAAATCAAACCAAGCACTGTGTGAAATAGAAAATACTGAAAATGAGGAAAGTTTTAAACTATAATATTGCACGGGGATCAACTTTTCAAACCAAATAATAAATAATATGTATACCATGTATATGAAATAATTTCTATTCATATGTAAATGCTATAGAATTATGTAGATAAAGCACCAACTAATATTTTTGTAATTTCTGTAACTCCACAGTACAGTACAGAGAAAATAAAAATGTTCTATTATCTGTGCCAATTATTTACTATTAGGGTCATCATATGCTCGGAGTTCGGTGGTCACTGCTGTGAAGTTCACTATCTCTGATCACCCACAGCCCATAGACCCACTATTAAAGAATTGTATAGGTGAGTGAAATCACAATTTTAAGCAGAGTATTTACTGTTTACGGGGTTGGATCCAGTAATGTAATTTCAGAATAGTTTTGGGGATGGGGAAGATTTTGATTTGTGGAGTCCTTGATGCTCTCTGAGCTTGGTTGTTTGCTTGCAGACATTTCATTACCCAACTAGGTAACATCATCAGTGGATCAGATTTTGATTTAAAGCCCTATTACATGAGAGGAAGTGTGCTTTGCTTAATTTGTTTTTTGGGAGTACTAAACTTTTAGGTAGGACAACAGTAGATACTAGGTGATGCAGATGCCTGTTTTCAAGCCTTGAAGCAACAAGAAATACTTCCATCTGAAGCAGCTGTTAGTTCTTGAAATAAAACTACTTATGTATATAATTTATATTAATTACTAGAGTTGTGCCGTATTTCAGCTTCAAAGGGCAAAGGTCCTTAGGAATGCATATGGACATCTGTGTAGTGCCTGCCCTCAGTTCTATAACCTTATGCATCTTTCTTCAGGATCATGCTGCAGTTACACAATCCAGAGGAGGACTCAGTTACTTTAAAGAGTTGCCAACAAGTGTTACACAAGTGACTATATGCACTCCAAAGCATCTTTTTTCCCTTTGAATACAAAATACTACACCAGTCTATTATTTATTTTATTTTGTTTTATTATTATTTTATTTATTTAAATTTATTAGCCACCCAACTACAGTGGACCCTATGTATTACCCCTAGATGTATATAATAGTAGCAGAGCAGAGTGAATCCCCAGAGAAAAATATTCAAAAAGAAAAATGCCTGGCAGAGTCACAAGAAGCCACTTTTACCTTTGTTTTGTTTTTTAAGCATAATTGCTGTAGTTCGTTAATTCTTCTGAACTGTTGAACTGAGTACGGTTCTGGAAAAATCTCAGTTTTAAGGAAAAGAAAAGAGATATTCTTGCAAAATACTATTACTTACTGATATTTTCCTGTTTGATTTATTTTTTAAAAAATTTCTTTCATCCTGCTATTTACATGATTAATTTCATAAATCATGAAGCATAGCATCCAGATCTGTGATCTAAAAAGAATAAATGTGGCACTTTTTAAAAAAGAGTCTTTTAATTAAGGCATTAGTAGAGCAGCTGTGAGGATATATATAAACTGGTTTCAAGCAAACTTGAAAACTACATATATAAGTTTGCTTGAAATCAGTTTACATATTTAACTGACTGGATTGCATAATTGTAAAGAAGATATTGAGAACAGAATAAATTATACACATAATTTAGAGTGAGTATATTTAATTTAGGTTAGAGGAGGATATCTTCACTGTTAGAGCAATGTTGTGTTTCTCACTTGTATTTCTTATTTGAATCAAGATTCACTATTTATCCCTAGGTACAACAATCCAAAATGAAATGATAAAAGTAATATTTACAAATCACCTTCTTGGCCATGAAGGGGATAAGAGAGGGAAAAACATGTGCCTAAGGCTTGGTGCAATTTCATTCTGTTGTGATCATTCTAAATTTGGTTTAGCAAGTTATACACGATGTGTTTGTATTTTTCATGAATGACATATACTGAACAAGACCATATGCTAATTGTCTTTAATTATTACAGGTGATTTTCTAAAAACATTGGAAGATCCAGATCTTAATGTGAGACGAGTAGCTCTGGTAACATTTAATTCAGCAGCACACAATAAACCATCATTAATAAGGGACCTTTTAGACACTGTGCTTCCACATCTTTATAATGAAACAAAAGTGAGAAAGGAACTAATAAGAGAGGTATGTAAATTCTTCTGACTGAAGGATAAGCAAACAGTAGTGCCCAAGAATAAAAATATTTTCTATTTAAGTTTCAGATCCCTATTTAAGTTTAGTCTAATTTGAAGACAGCTGTTTTGTGTACAGTGGTAGTTAGAGACATGTCATCCAGCAGTACCATGACACATGTGACGCACTAGATGGCATATATGAAGCGCAACATATTTTAATAAACTTTGCAAAGTTTCGGTCATTTTTATTTCTTTATGTCACACGCATACACATTTGCATGTACTTACCCATCATGTGAAATTGCCCACTGCCTGAAAAAAGTTGTAGACTCTTATTTTACAGGTAGGGGATTGATTCCTAAGTCCTCCTGTTAAGTACTATAGTAATGCCACTTTGGGAATTAGTGAAATTCAGAGAGCTTTATTCAGTGGTGTCATTTGGTTTATGCAAGCCTCATTTGAATAGTTAGCTCAACACCAAGCACAATTTTCCATTGCCTGGTCTACTTCTTCACTTAGATAATTCCTAGATTCCTTGTTCATATTTACTGATCTTTGACTGTAGCTTACTACGTGTGTGTGTGTGTGTGTGTGTGTGTAGGATTGCAGTTGTGTTTATGTTGCTTAGGATATGCCTTAGAATATCACTTAAATGTACATAGTTAAAACACACACACAATTTGAGAACCAACTAAGAACTTGAGTTACTTTTTGATGGATGACTTACAAACATCCATTCAGTTTTAAACCAGAAACCTGAAACATGGTGCCATGAAAATGGATGTAGTCATGGAATTTTGTAATGAAGTTAACTTCTAAAGCCTTAGTTCGTTTCTGGAATTTCGTAATTACTTTTCCTTGTGGCCATAGTTTTTCAGTACATTCATTCAAAGAATATTGTAAACAACTGATAATTAAATCTAATGAATGCTCTTATTTTGTTTTGGTTTGCAGGTTGAAATGGGGCCATTTAAGCATACAGTTGATGATGGTCTTGATATTAGAAAGGCAGCTTTTGAGTGTATGTATACTCTGCTAGATAGCTGTCTGGATAGACTAGACATCTTTGAATTCCTAAACCATGTTGAGGATGGTTTGAAAGATCACTACGATATTAAGGTTAGTTTGTTACGTACATGTGTGTAATATAGTTACATAATTTTCACTCCATGCAAATGCAAAATGTATTAGGAGCAAAATGTTTGTTTCAGAGAAAAAGGTTGGGCATTTAAATACCTATTTCTAAAATTAAATGCCAATTTTTGTGATTTGCTATTACCTCGGGAGCTCCTCTGTGTCAGCAATAGCTGCAGATGGGTTAAAATGAGGTAAAAGGTCATAATAATTGAGTGAATTATTACTGGGTATTGGAAATTTAATATAAGTGTTGAAAAACTTATTTCTTTTTTTAATAACTTTATTAAATTTTTGAACAAAGATAAAAACTAACAAGAACTAATATTTAGAATAAAGAAAAGAAAGAAGAAAAGAAAGAAAAGACAAAGCCAAAAGTGCAGAAAAAAGAAAGAAAATATAAAGAAATAGCTTCCAGTTTTCTTATAGCATTTATAAGTATAGATGTAAATCAACCTCTTACTCTGTGGTTACAGCATAACTTTCATTTTTTCCTATAATCTGTTTTTTTAATCATCAAAACCATATATAAGTTCAAAAACTTATTTCTGATTTGTTGTTTCTACCAATAGAACACAATTCAAGTGATAAGTTGCCTTAGTAAGAGATTTGATAATAGTGGAGCATAACAGATCAAACTAATGCACCTCTATTAAGCCCCATCCCCTGACATTCTTCATGTGCCACATCAATCCCTGTACCTTTTACTTGGGGTGAATGGTAGGATGGCTCCTCTTATTATTTGTCTAGTCTGCATCTTTCTTAATCAGAGAAAATGTCCAGAGGCACAGATCATATAATGGAAGATGGCTTGAAGTATTTTCAGAACTCCTGACAGACTCTGTGACTCCACCTTTACAGAGAAGGACAGAATGCAGGCAAAACAGTGCCAATCCTGCTAATACTTCTGTAGGAATGCCATCAGCATTGGCATGTGCCAGTTAGCAGCGGAGGCAGGAAGGAATTGGGCCTTGCTCAAATGTGGCAGTTGGTGGCATAGAATAATAATTGGCTTGAAGAAAATACAGCTAGGTAGATCCAGTGTGAAGTGTATAGATAGGATGGCCAATGAAGTACAGAATTCATTATTTCATTTTCTGAGATGATAGTTGTTTAGTGCAAACTGAGAAATTGTGTTAAAATAGAAATGAGATCTACCAATATATATCCACAGAAAAATTAAAGTTACAGCTGGAATTAGACACACAACAGTACAACACACGTTAACTGAGCGTACTTAGTGGGCAGGGAACACTAACTTAGAAGGGGAAACGAAATAGAATGGAATAGTTGGTCCTCTGAATAGAAGTATATATGGCGCAACATTTCATTGCAGTGTCCAGTTTATCTAAGTTATCTTTCTCTTAACCAGATGTTAACATTTTTAATGCTGGTGAGACTATCTACTTTGTGTCCAAGTGCAGTACTGCAGAGGCTTGATAGACTGGTTGAACCCTTACGTGCTACATGCACAACCAAGGTACTGTGTGAATTTCTTTACATTAGTATACAAATTGTAAAATAGAATTGCAGCGTTTCAGAGTCAATCATCAGTCCCTCATATTAAGCTTAACACACCTCACTTTTCCTAAAATTTGTGATCTGTGAAAGTAATGTGTATGGCCTTTCCTAGTAGAAAGATACATTTTTAAAGCATTATTCCTGCCAGGCTGTTTTATGCTTTTTTCTCCCCCAGTTCTCTGTTCTTACATGGGAATAAAATAGTCTTATTGCTGGCTTGTGCTAGCTGTTCAGACGTTGCTTCTCCCCCTCCCCCCCGACAGGTTGTGTTATTAAAATTGTTTTAATTTATGTGTAATAATCTTTATTAAGATGCATAGGATCAGGACACCTTTTGTTCCTAGCATGGGCTTTTTTATTATAAGATAACATTTTGTAAGAGCCTCAGTAGTGAACAAAAGTTAGAGAGAAACAAAATCTTCAGTCATAAATAATAATTATTGAGAAAATGCCTAAAGTTGCAAGACATTCTGAAGAACTTTTATTCTGACAGTTAGTGTAGCACTTACAGTGTGGTGCATTTACATTGTTTGCATGTCTTTCTAATTTAATTTTGTTATTGGATTGGTACCTAAATATCACTTTTTTTAAAATAAAACAGGTAAAAGCAAACTCTGTGAAGCAAGAGTTTGAGAAGCAAGATGAACTGAAGCGATCTGCTATGAGGGCAGTAGCAGCATTGTTAACTATTCCAGAAGCAGAAAAGAGTCCACTAATGAGTGAATTTCAGTCACAGATAAGCTCTAATCCTGAGCTTGCAGCCATCTTCGAAAGCATCCAGAAAGATTCATCGTCCACTAATTTGGAATCAATGGACACTAGTTAGATATTCATTCAAACAGGGACCATTAATTTGAACCATACAATGCACTGAATTTACAAGTTAAAAAAAAAAACAGAAAAATATCTAATCTTCACAATGTTCCATTTTATCTTTATGGAGACAGTTTGGCTTTTTTCCATTGTTGTTTTTTTAGCATTTATTCCAGAATATGTATTTCCATAACTCCAAAGTTGTAAGCCACACATGTTTTAGTGGATTTGGATACCCATTAAATAGAAATAAAAGGTTAAAACGCATGATGTATGGAAATAGATTCCAGCATCCATTTGCCCTGTAATGTTTAGGATTAAAAGTTTAAAAATTTGTGGCCATGATTTTTCTTTTCATTTTTTTCTTGAAACAAAGCAAAACAAAACAACTTTTGTGTTTTATCTAACTTTGCTTGGCAGGTAGGCTTAAAAAAAACTGTAAGAGTTACTATCGTACATCTTAGGTACAATTTTAAAATGGAAACACAAGTAAATGTCGTTTTTAAACATGTGGGAATAAACAATTTTTTGTTCACATTAATTTTGTATGAGAAAATTTACAAATGTGTGTAAAGAAGCATGTGCAATTTATTCATAACTAAATTCAGATTAATAATATTGATGCAGGCAGTGTTCTCTTTCATACCTAATGCAGTTAGTTTATTATATTTCATTACAATTTTTTACATATATATTCTGCCAAAGCAACTTACCATCAGTATAAGCAATCATGAACAAAACTACAATAAATATTAGTATAGGCCAAGAAAGATCCTGATACGATATTTCCTACAGGGCAGCTGGTACAAATGGGATGAGAGACTGCTGAGTTGAGTATTGGTTGGTTTAGAAGCAAAAAGTATTCTTCTGAACTTGTTTGTAGTTCTCATATATTGAGGTGATTTTTAGTATTTTTATTTGTAAATCCAAAGCAAGGCATTTATTTAAAAATGGTTTTTAAAAGACTACCAAAATTTTCAGGAGGCATAGAATGACAGACCTGCACAACATGCCGTCCATCAAGCCTCCTTGTATCACCATCCAGCATTTTTTAAAAAACTAATAAATTCACTGCCACTGCCCAAAAGATGCACTGTCAAGTGCCTCCAGGCCTCATTGCTGCCACCAGCACCAGCATTGCTGCTGTTCCATTGGTTTGCTGATTTGGGGTGCCAGGTATTCCTTTGCAGCCTGCGATGGTTTTTAATTTATCAGTACGACCTGCTCTTAACAGTTGAGATGGTCATCAGTGGAATGAAAAGACAGTTGCTGCCAATCCCCCTTTCTTTTTTTGTGCAAATCTTGCAATATTCTGATGATAGTGAGGTTTGATGGAGATGGCTATTTGGGGCCAAAGTTACAGATTCCTCCTATAGCTTAAAAGTCTGACAAATATAGTGGTTTTTAAGGATGATGCTGAGTTTTTCAATTAAATTTACAGCTGAAAGCTGAAAAATGGAAGGATAGAATATCAGTTAAAAAGAGGACAGGAGAAGAGAAATGACCTGGCTGTACAGTAAGTACAATAGCAGGGAAAAGTTTCAGGACATGAGAATTACTGTCCCGCCTTCTTTTCTTGTACTTTGCATTACACAGAACTGTTTTAGAAGATGACAAAGGGGAAGGGAAACAGTCCCTTTTTGTCTCTCCCCCTTTCTTCTTGCATTGTAGCTATGCAGTAATATGCTGGCATCCTTCAATACTATATACCCAGCACTAGGAAAATCTAGGTGAGGGGGACATTTCTTTTACTCTTTTTTCCTGCGGTATCTGTCCTCCAAGAAGTATTACAAACTGATTAGCAGGCAGAATAACAGCTCTTACAACGTACATATATACTAGAGATTTCCACTTACTTTATTTTTACTGAGGATAACAAAATTCTACATTGTAACCCAAAGTTTTCACCATTCCTCAGAATGAACTGTCTGCAATTAAACAAGGGAAGCATGCTGAGCATGGCTTTTGGGATTCATTCCAACCCTTTTACCAGTGGGTTGTAGAAGGGCCCATTTTCTTCTGTGTAATGAAATAACACGATACATCTTGTGTATTTCTGCTCTCCCCTCTTGTTGGGTCTGTATTTGTGTGTATGCATGCACTGGGAAGCAGAGTCCCATTCTGGGTCATATGCAGAAGGAAGGAGAATAGAACAGTCACCAGCATTAAAGGGTACCTCTCCATTAGGTAGCCCCTTGTCTGATCCTCCCCATTTTCAATTCAATCCTCCTTTTTGCTAGTTTTTCCTCCCATACCAAACTTGGATCCATTCTGTTCAATTTTTGGAGAGCCCACTGACAGAGTCTTTGTAATTTTGTTCTAACATTGCATTGAATTGGAAAACAAAAATGGATATTGGTGTAGCAGAGCATAGTGTACTAGTAGACCAAATATATATTTTAGACTGGCTGCAAAGAAACCCTTCACAATTCACTCTGGACCTGCCATTCTTAAAGCTTTTAAGTACTAACATACATGCACTAGTTCAGTAATTCTGAATGAAACTAGAATGCTGATGCCCACCTGGAACTGCAGTCGTAGAATGCAGACATAATCGGTTTTGCTGTTTGCCCAGGTGAAAATGGGATTAAATATGCGGTTCAAAGCATTCTGGAAGCATTAGAAAATTCCTTCATTGGATCAGACTAACATCTGTTTTGTCTTAAAAAATGACCTGGTCATACACAGGTTTTATCTATTTTAGCATGCTCTGTGTAATGGGAAGTTTGATTCTGGAAATGCTGCTTTAGAATGCAGTGGTAAATTACACATCAGATGTTATGTAGTTTGATTAATTGGAGCTCCATATGAAAAGTGTTAATCTTGTTTAAATATTTAAATTTGCCATTACAACTAGAGTTAATCAGCTTTTTGCTAGAATTAGCTACATTTTGTATCATGTGAACGAAAAGGTGGGCTGCATCCTTTTGCAGTCTTGGAAAGTGGCCCCTCTGAACCTCCAATGAGATGTACAGGTGAAACTCGAAAAATTAGAATATCGTGCAAATGTTCATTTATGTCAGTAAGGCCACTTAAAAGGT